CATCCGATACTTCGCCACAAAGCGTTAACGCTTCGGTCTAACGAATCTCATTTTAAAATAAATCAAAAGGGAAATAAAAGAATACAAAAGGGATATAAACTAAAGAAGTAAAATAAAACCAGTCCTGCTACTTCGGCAGTGACGATCCGCGTGGATGGGGCAAAGTAAAAACGTTGTGTTGCCGCTTACCACTCACGGCCCAGATACCGGCCATCCTAGGAATGATGTATCAATGTGTTCCTTCTGAACTCTCTCCTGTTGGAATTAATTCATCATCATGTGTGAATCTCTTGTGCATGGATTAATTCATTGAGGGGATTAATCGAGTGCGAATATGGTTCACCTGGAGGCCCCTCTGTTTTTGGTCAGGGAGAGAGATGACTATCAATTGATTCTGGTGAGTTGGTGGAGATCTATCACACGCCTTTTTTGGGCAAAACATAATGTTTATTTTCGTGCTTCGTAGGTGGTGGACATCCGACGTGGTTGCGCACCTGTTTGTTCGTCAGCTAATTTTGTGGAATTTTTATGGTGTTGTGATCATCTAAATTCGATTGGATACCTTTGTGAATTGAAATTTGGATTATCCTCAATCGGATTATGTGAATAATACGTTATTGTGAGATGAATATATGCTGAAGCGATTGCGTGATTTGTTGCTGTCCTGATTTGGATTAAGAATGTGTTTTGTTCTGAGAATGTTATAATTATATTTCCTCTTTGAAAGTTATTCCGTATGGATGTAAATATGTTTTTAATTCGTTTAAAGTTAGATTTGGAACAACAGAAAAAATTCTCAATGTTAATTCTTTTAAATTTTTAGGGAAAATTTTTATGAATATTGGTTATTAAACTAATTGTGACCAACTATAACTCAGTCGGATTTGGATCAAAATAAATAAAAAGGGTTAATTTCTATTCAAATTATAATTTTTTTTTTAGAATTACTAATTAGAAAAGAAATATATGTATTTATAAAAACCTTACTAGTGTTCAAATATGTATCGAATCAAAGTTATTATTATTTTTATTTATTGGTAAAGTAATTTTAGTTAAGAAGCTGAGTGTAAATTTATTTAAAATAAATAAAAAGCCCCCTAATTGTTTCTTAACTTTAGCTTCACTGGCTTGAAACATATAACTGTTTTAGCAGTTTATTTTACTAGGGTTATTTTTAAGAAAATTTATTTTTAATTTTAAAAACGTATCATTATAGGTTCACGTCACTATGTAAACTATTACTATCCATGATTTTTGATATAGTGATAGAATAAAAGAAAAAAAGAATGCTGATAGAAGGAATGAAAATCGGTCGAATTGGTGAATCAGTTAAATTTAAAAAAATAAAAAAAAGAGAGAGAGAGAGAAAGAAAGATAAACGCATAATTTTTGCTCAATATTTTTTTTATTATTATTATTTTTCTTTCCCTTTAAACATTTGTTTTTCTATATAGTTTTTCAATGTATCTGCCTGTACCTGTATAAAAAGTACCTGTATACGTACCTTATAATTTTACTTATTTTTTGCTTTAATTGACGATAAATAACGTGTTTCAAAACTTTAAACTAGTACTTATATTATGTGCGTATCATGTTGTCGAACAGCTTAAATTTAAGCAGTATGTTATATTTAATATTCTAAAAATGATTGCTTCAATTACGAGATCCATTAATTCAGTATTTATTTTTTATTTAAATTTTTATTCTGCTCCTCCCACAGGAGATTTTTCTTCAAATAAAACCAGAGTTTACAATGCTCGTGTACCATAATAAATTTTATTTCCCGTTTTTTTTTTTTTTTTTTTTTTTTTTTTTTTTTTTTTGAAATCAAAAGCATCTGAGCACCTAGAAATTCATATTTAATTTATAACAAGCTGATTTAATCTTACCTTGCTGACTTGCGACACCTCATTAATTGATTTCAAAGCATGATTTTAAGAAATAAAAAAAAATCATTTAAAAACAGCAACAACAAAAAAAGGCATTCCTAAGGGTGAGTCTCAGCACGGATTCGCAGCTTGACTTTTCATTGATTTATTCAAACCATTGAATAGTGGGTGTAAGAAGAAAAAAAAAAGGGGGGGGGGAAGAACACGAAAACCGACTTAGAAATACTGTGATTAAAGGAAATTGAACTATGTGGACGCAATATTTGATCCCATAACTAAGTTTTAAATTTTCGTGAATAACTCTTATTAACCCTTTGATGTAGATGGAACACCATAACACCAATGTCCCTTTATATATATAATTTTAACTATGAAAAAAAACCTGTCATTATCGGAATTATATTTGTACTTAAATATTGAATCCAAATAAAGTAGTTTTAAAAAAATTTTCATTTATATTTAAAAATTTATCAATAATTAACTTTGTCAATTAATGAAATTTCAACCATGAATTTAACTGTTTGTCTTGAATTTAAATAACTGAAAATCTAAAAAATTATTTTTTAGAAGATTTTACTTTTAATACAATAAAAGACACTTTTGTTTCCTGCTGTGTTTCATTACCATAAATAATTAATATGCGCAATGCAATCTTTTTCACTTTTACCCATATTAATACAGAATTTGTTTAAAATACCATTAAATGAATTTTTTTTATTAATAAACGTTATTAGTTTTTGTAAAATTTTTTTCAATTTGTTGGAAATGTAATTATGCTAATTTTTGTGTTTCGAATCCTTACTGTATAAAATTTGCAATCTATATCAAATCAGTTTTAATTTTATCCTGCAATGGCACATACCCTCAACATTTTTCAATGGAAATTAAATTTTAATTCAGCATAATTTACATTTTCTGGTATATTTCTTTATCGCATACTTTCATTTTGAAATATACCTTGTCCACCACCCTTACATCTCAATTTATTTATGTTTTTCTTTAAATTATTAAGAAAGTTAATGTCAATAAGGACTCCTGATTTCTTGTACCAATATATAAATTCTTAAAATTAAAATAACGAAACAAGAAATAGTTTATACTTTATGTTTACTTTCACTGTGCTGTTGCGATAAGTTCTTTATAATTAAATTTATTTATTTGATTTATTTTTAAATTTAACTGTCAAAAGTATAATTTCTACAACTTTAACAATGCTCAGCAGATAGTATAACATCATCATGAGGTTTTTTTTTTTCTTACTAACCATTCACATTTTTCAGTGTAATAAACCAATTAAACCAGATTATCATACACAGAATAGTAGACACTTGCAATTATTTTTCAAAATGCAATGGTAACTTGGATTTGAAGATTTCTGGTCAAAACAATCTGTTTGATAACAAAACACTAACGTTGAACAGGAAAATCGTATTTTATTGAAATTTTATTGTTGTGTAAGTGTAAATAACCACTCTGGAAACTTTACGGGTAGGGTGGTTGCATAAGCTTAAAAGAATGAGAGGAAAAATAAAAGTTAACTTAAAAAATTTCATGAATCTGTGAGATATTTTACATCTGCCTCTGGTTGGTATTCTGACTCAAACATTTAAATTATCTGTTGAAAAAGTTTTTTTGAACGTAAAAAAATACATCTTTGAAATTTCAAACCTGTACTATTGAAAGTAAACAGTGGAGTACAGAGAGTGGGGAAACCAGCCAATGATGACATCCAATTGACCACTAAGCTCACTAAAACTTTAGATTTATTACTGTAATTTTTATTATGAAATTAAAAACATTTGATCAAATATTTCACTCGAGCAATTGTGGCATCTATTTGACCACTGTGGACACATCATTGAATTAAAAAATGTTCACAAATAAATATTTAGCTGAAGCAAAATATTTTATGAAAAGTAAAGTATGATTTTTATAGCAAATTTAATAATGTAATTTTAGGTAATAAAAAATATTCTTTACATGTAAGAAAAATTTAATACTTTCTAAGCAATAAAATTTTCTCAGAATAATTCCAGTATGCACATACATAAAAGTGAGTTAAAAGTTATGGTTTTAGTTATTTATAGGTGGCTTTTTTTTTAACCTNCAAAATAATCCGATTTTTTTGATTTTTTTTAAAAAAATCAAAAAAATCACGAACCCTGGTATGCATACATAAAAGTGAGTTAAAAGTTATGGTTTTAGTTATTTATAGGTGGCTTTTTTTTTAACCTACCTCTTTTTAGTGATTATACTACTCTTTTTAGGGTCAACTAATCAAATAATTTGCCTTCAGATGGCAGACGAAGCAACTTGAAAATTTTCTAACCATTTATACAACAAAAGTGTTATTGTTATGTATCAAAAATTCTTTAATAAATCTTTGTCTTAATTTCCCTATTTTGAAAAAAAAATTATCACAAATTAATTCATATAAAAATGACTTTTTTTGTTGCTAGTCTTCAATAAGTTCCTTACATTACTCTATGAATCAATAAAAAGTTACTGGTTCTTTTAAATCAGTAAGCCAGAAAACATAACAAGGTCCATAAACAAGAGAACTAGTCTTCTTAAAATGCTCAGTGTATTTTAAATGGATAAGATTTAAAGTAAACTTCATTAGAAATTTTAAAACAAAAACAATAACTATAAAGTATAACAAACATCTAGCAAAGATCTTTTTACTGGAGAACAATCGCAAAAGAAAAGAGCAGAATGGAGGAAGGTTCTCTAGACAAAAATATTTAAGTGAATTTTTTTTTGTTTTTTTTTTTTTTTNTTTTTTTTTTTTTTTTTTTTTTTTGCAAATTACTATTTTATTTGATTACAATATTTTAATTTTTAACAGGTATGTATCAATTTTAATTGCTGAAAAATATTGGAGAAGGAAAGTCTCATAAAACTTTTAAAGAAAATCATATTTAATTTGTGGCACCTCCTTCTGATCAATCTGGTTTATTTTCTTATGATCTGTAGTTAAGTGGTTTCAGACCAGTGGACCACTTATTATTTTGAATGCTAGTTAATAAAAAGATCGTGCTTATTTTATTATAATGTATTTTTTATTTGTTTCTTTTTGTGAATAATACTGAATAATCTGCTTATTTTTAGGCCAAACAAAGGGCTTCTGTGTTGTGGCTCCTTTCCAAGGCTTATATGCCCAAGATTCCCCCAGAGTTATATGAGCCTTGCTACAGGGATCACGAGGTAATTTTTTACTTTTTGACATTTTGACTATTTTAAAACTAATATTACGTAAGATAAATTTTTATCTTTGTTGTATACAAAGTACATATTATAACTACATACATACAAAGTACATATTACTACATATAAGTATATATTAATTATCTGTTAGAAACATTAGAGTTCATAAAATGAATTGAGACAATATTAAAACATTTCTAAATTTATTTCATTTTAAAAAATATACTTTTCCCCAATTCTGCAGTTTTGGGAAATGCTGTGGTTAAGTTCCATAGCTGATATTCTGTAAAATAGATTTTTTTAGATAATAGGTCTTTAAGCTACAAACAAAAATCTAAACATATGTTATTCAATAAAAAAAATACTTAACAACCTAAAATCAATGCCAATTCTTATACAATAACATTTTGTTATTAGTTAAATGATATATAATTAACTAAAGAATATAATAAAATAGAAATAACTAAAGAATATAATAGTAGTGATAAAATAAATGTCACTAATTTAAATATTAAAAAAAAAAAGTTAGCATAAGATAAATTAAACTCTCTTTCTTTTTCAGGCACTAAGACACTTTTCTCTCTTTCTTTTTTTTCCTCCATTTGTTACGAAGAACTAGCAGCTGAGATATTCAGATAAAAACAACATTGAAAACATTATTTGTTTTTTTATTTACATTGTTTTGCTTAATTCACGCTAAGTACAAAGTATACCCTATCTTCATTTGGATTTAAGGACTGAACTTCAAATTGAAAGGAAAAATGAATACTGTGTAATTTCTAAAAAAAGAAATATTATTGAACAATAAATGGACTTGAGTAGATTTTTAATGAACACATTTATAATTTAAACCGAAACAAAACCTGTCTCCATGTGTTACTTTTAAACATTATAAATATAGATAGTTTATTTACTGAAGTTGTCTTTTCTTTAATTCTTTTGTCTTTTCAACAACTTTCATTAAACTTAAAACAATATAAATTTTTAGCTATCCTAAATGCAACAAGAAGAAATAAAAATATATATGTATATGTACATGAGATTTTTAGAACGGATCCCAAATTTAAAACAAATTGTTCATTTTGAGCATTAAAAAGTGTCCGAAAATTAGAAATTTCCTAAAAATTAACATCGAAGCATGTGACTTTGTACTGTATAATTTATTAATTCTGTTCCAGAACATGCTACATTCTTTCTTTTCTAAGGCAAATTGAAAACTGTTGATCAGTTTTGTCACACAAAATGTTAGAAAGTAGTTTATGATTTCAGATGTTGGCATCTCATAGATGTGAAAATATAATTATGTAAATTATTTTGCATCGTGCGCTCTGTAGTTGTTTACCTTCCATAATGGTGAATTCTGGTATTGCATTCCATGCTCCATTAAAATGTTCATATATAAAATATATGAGGTTTTTGATCTAAGTTCACTAGTTTCTGGTTTCTGTCCTTTACTTTTTAAAAAGACAATTGTATCAATTGTCTGCTGTACCCATGCTACTGAAAATGAAGACTGAAACTAGTGATGTGCAAGGTTATAGTGAATTGAAGGATGGGTCCTGTACACATGTGTAATAACATAAATGAAACCTTTCTCACTCTAGTCTCAGTTTGCTAACTTTTAAATCTTATTATTTTTAATCATAATTAAACCATAGAAAGAAATCTACTAATTTGATATTTATATATTTCTCTAAATTTTTATACACTACAAAATATTCCTTAAACTTCAAAATTTCTGATTAATTTCCTTTGTCTTTAACTTCCTTGATACCTTCAAATATATTTTCAAAAATGTGTTTTGATTTTAACAGTTTTTAAGTATTAAAAGGCTATAATTCAGTTATAAACATTATGTTTTACATGTTTTTTTTTTGTATGTCTTGAAATATTATGAAAATTATTGATGTTTTATTACTAAAATGTACAGATGAATTTTTTTCTGTCGTAATACAATGTCAGCTTGTGCAAATTTGAGAAATGTAATTATATTTATTGCCCTATATTTTATTATTTTCCACTTATAAATTTTAATATATAATTATTTAATCACGTGTCTGCTATCAAACATTAAAACCTAGGATATTATTTTTATTTTATTTATTTGTCGAATAATGTAGCTAAGTTTTGTAATAAGTTTAAAAGAATTTTATTATTAGAAGTTAATTGTTCAAAAAATGAAAGTGTTTAAACCGTATTTCGTGTATAATTTATTTTTTTTTATTTTTTTTTTTTTTACTCACATAAATTTATAATTTCTGATTTATCACTGCTTTTAGTTCAGCATTCAGTTTCCATATGATGTTTTATGACTAGTAAAAAAAAATTTTTAACCGGTAATTATGTGAATGAAATTAAAATTTATGCAAATATAATATAAAGATAAAAATCAATTGTCTTTTTATTTACCAGGATATTTTTTCTATTATTGTTATTGATTTAAATCCTTGGCATAAACCTCATTAATTAAATCGAATTTTAAAATGTTTTATTTTAGGGCAATGATCGTCTCAAACCACAGATAGTACATGCTTTGGCTAATGCTGAGTTGTATTGCCTGGCATTGGCCAATATCTATGCAGATCCAAATTATCATAATTTAAATCACCATGGAATAATACAAGTGCTTACACGAAAAGGAATTGAAATTAATGAGCCAATGGATGCCAATTTAACTGAAACTGTATTAGTTCAAACAGCTCCAATTAGAATGGTTTGTATTCTCTTAATTTTAATTCATTAAAAAATTAATTTATATTTATTGCTACCCAAGTTTTTTTTATCAAATTTATTTTGTTTATAAATGTTATGTAAATCTAATTATACAAGACCCCATAAATTTTGTATAGTTAATTTCCAATATTCCCTAGTTGAAACTAATTTTATAGAATATAGATGTTTCCATGTTACAATTATTCTAGGTATAATTATTTTTTTAAAAAGAAAACATTGCTTTTGTGTATGTTGTGTATTATTGCATCAAAAATTTTAATCTTTATTTATAAATCTTATTTTTTTCATAATGCAAGATTTGTAAATGCCCCAGGTAGGTGATAAAAGTAAAGTGAGATTACAAATACAAGACCAATCAAATATATGCTGTAATATCATCAAATATTTATAAACACAAATCCCACCTGCCTAGACACAATCTTTGGGTACTTGCTTCGGCAGTACATATGCTAAAATTGGAACGATACAGAGACACAATCTTTGGCAATTCTGAAAGGAGGTTATTTATCCTTTTAATTTCATTTAATTTAAAGTCATTTTAATAATTATATGGTTATATACTGACTACTAATGTAACAGTATCAAAGTATGACTAATGAAAATATATATAAGTAATAAATGAATTGTATGTTAAAATATTTTTCAAAACTTTACATTTCTACAGTGTTCTCACAAATATCAAAAAATTGTCTGGTTTGCATATTATCTCTACTTGTTTTAGGCTTATTTAAAATTTTTAAAAATTCATAAAGTGTGCCATAATTTTGAAAGAAGAAATGAATATAGGTGCAATGTCAGATTTGTATTGTTATTCACTTTTAATGTTATAATAAATAATAGAATGGGTGTATTTTAACAACAATGACGCAATTTTGTTTACCTTAAGGTATGCCCAGTACAGTTTCACATTGATGGTGTACAATTGTTCTTTTTTTTTTTTAAGCATGCTTACCTATTTTTCCTCACTAGTAATTTGACTACAAACACAAGCAATTTCTTCGACTTGCATTAAAAAATAATAAAACTCTTAAGCTATCCATATTTTCTGACCTTCTGTGTCTTCCTTGCTAGGATAAATGGGCTCAATCTTTTGAAAATCTTTAATTTACAGAAATTTATTCTGATATAAACTAGTTTGGGCATAATTCTTTTTTCTATATATTTTAGAATAGTATTCTGCATTCAAAATTGTAGGTTACCACACTAATGTAGCATAGTAGGTAAAATTTCATGGTAAAAAGATTTACTTTTTTAATTGAAAAAAATTTACGTATCAGATTATTCTTCTCTTAATTGTTTACTTTTGTTAATAATTTAAATTTATTTCCAGAATGCACATATGGCTGTGATTGATGGCATAATGGCATTATTTATTAAAGAAGTTCTTATTCCGGAAAAAGTGATGGAAGTTGTTAGGTAAAAATATTTTTACACACTGTATCAATGTTACTTCATTTTTTTTTTTTTAAGAGAGTTTAAAACTTTTTTTTTTATCTAAAATGTATATTAAAAATTAAGATTATATCTATGTGCATATATTAATTCATAGGTGAAAATGTCTCTTTTCATAATTTCAAAAACAAATACTTTATTCTTCATTCAATTTCCTGTTAAAGTTAAGAGTTTATTTTTAGATTAAATGTGTAGCATTTCTTGCAAATAATTATCATGAAAGATAATCTGTACAGTTTTTCAGACAGAATTTTCAAAACATCAGAAGGGTTTATTGTCATTTTCAATTCCCATTACAGTTTAATGCATTAAAATATCAGAAAGGCTTGGATCATTTCTGATTCCCTTAACGGGTTAGTACATGCCTTAAAATGAAAATTAAAAACTTTTAATGAAAATCAATTTCAACAACAAAAAATAAATCAGCTATCTCTCAGATGTTCCAAAATTGTCTGCTTCTTATGATTTTTTTCTTGATCTCTTACTGTTTTTCCATTAATGCTTGTGTTAGCTAGATATTTTAAAGATTCTTATACCAGTAACTACTGGGTACCATTCATAGTATTTCATTTTTCCCAAAATAATCCTTTCTATAAAAAGGGGAGCACAATGATTCATGGATTCTCTGTTAATAATATGAAGATGCTTTAATGAAGATGTTCGTATTTAAACCTCCCTGTTGCCTGCATTAATTCTAGCATGTCCACAATTACAATATATATTTTTTGTATACACACACATGTCTATAAACTTGTTAAATGAGTTCTATATACATGCAGCTTGTTAAATATGTTGAGATGATCTCGGGGTTAAATCATTACAAAACGCCTTTAACGAAATATATTTAATAACAAAGCACAGATGATATTCACGATGCAGTGGCATGGAGGAAACTGATTACAATTAAGGATTTTACATTACTGCTTAGAGCGCCATCTATTGAGTTTTAGAAATTATTATTAATATTAAGAAATATTATTAACACAGCTTATGTTGTGCAGTACATAAAACTTTTTATATTTCTTAGTTTTTTATGTCTTCTTTCTCTATTTTCTTTTTATCCTTTTTGTCTTTATTGTGCTATATCTATACACATACAGTGAAACCTCCTGTTATGGACACTCCTGCAAAACGGACGCCTCTCAATACGGACATATTTTTAATTCCCCGGGAATCTTCTATGAATAAACCATTACGTACATTCTCCGCAAAGCGGACACTCCCGTATCATATGTCTATTTTTAATTCCCCGGTATCATATGTCTAACGTGAGTTTCTATGCTAATAGGAAAATTATATTTATTTATCTGTAGCTACATCCAGAATTTTGTATTTATATCAAACTTCTTTATATATTCTTTTTTTATATTTATTATATAAAAAAGAATATATAAAGAAACTTCTTTTTTATCTCTTTTATATATTTCTTATTGTTTAAATAAATATTCTTGTAGATATTTACGGTATCCTTGAAGATATTATTTAATTATTTCTACATCTTTGAGAATAATCTAAAAACAATTTACGGTGTTAAATTTCGTTATTAGGGTACCCTTCCCGTAAACGGACAACTCTCATAAACGGACAAATTTTTTGGTCCCATGAATGTCCGCTTAACAGAGGTTTTACTGTATTTATATATATATAGTATTTCTATGTTTCTACTTAAACTTATTTTAGTTTTCCTTTACCATTCATGGTAAACAATAACCCTACACAATTTATTTATAAATATGATTGTAGTTTTAAATAAAGGAAAATTAAAGTATGTAATGTGGTTTTTGATGAAGCGATTAATGATTCTCTCTTGCGAATTTCTGCCTCACCAACTGATGATGCTCTAATCAATCATAAAAACTATGAATATGTATCACTTGTATGGTGGGCAATGGATTTTCACAAAAGGCTTATTAGAAAGCCTAACACTTATCACACCCTTACATCTGTTTCTTTTGTTGTTCGCATTTATTAAGTTTGATTGCTATTAAATTTCGTCCTTTTTACTCAGTGCATCATTCTACACTGAATCACTTTGTAATAAATGCTTTTTGCATTTAGAGAAGTCTCACCTTGTAACCTGGCTTAATCTAATAAAGGTTTCATTTCATTGTGTAGCCGCTTCTCTGTTGTTAATCCTGAAAGTGAGCTACCTTATGATAGTGAAGAAGCTGCATTACTGTGGATCAACAAATGCTGTCTAAAAATGAGACACAAAATAGAAGAAGATCTAATTACTAGCCATAGTCCTGATAGTCCAGACTCTAGTCAAGTAAGCATGAATAAAATTAAACTTTTTAGACAAATCTTGTATTTCATAATGCTCTTATTCACGAGCTATATAATAATGCTCTTATATACTAAATTTATAGAATGTATTGAAATGTATAATTGTTTTAACCTTATACAATAACCCCTAATTCCATAAATTAAGATCATCCATGATCAAATTAATTTTATTCTTTTTTTAATTTATGAAAGTAGAACAAAAAGTTATCATTTATTTGAAAAACACACATTTTTTATTACAATTTCAAATTCTCCCAAAAAATGGTAATCGGAATGTAAATTATGTGTTTTTGCAGTTTGGTTCAGATGGTGCTGTAATTGACAAAAATAAAAATGGATCAGATGCAAAATGCTGAAAATAAAAATATCTCAAAAAATATGTGCCAGATTGAAAAAATTAAAATTATCAAAAATAATAAGTGGCATAATGTCAAAAGAGATAAGTAGTGATGAAAGAGATAAATCAAGATGTAGTGTAATGTCAGAGGTAAGTAGTGTACAATAGCCTCAAATCATATAGTGTTCCTCAAGGAACAAGAGAAGAAGAAAAAACAATATATATGAATGAATAACACAATGAAGGTCATTTTAAATTATTATGTTCCAGCTTATTATCAATAAGTATCTTTAATTGTAGTGATACATTAAGCTAACTTATTAAATTGTGATGAATTCATAAAAAATACTAATGATCATTTATTTTTGTCCTAGAAAATGAATTATTTTGGAATTCTTAGATGGTGGTTTTTTTTTAAGATGAAATAAAGTACATGTTTCACACCTGAATGCTAATAATATAAAACTATAATCAGTATATTTTTAATTCATAGCAAAACTTTAAATTTTTTTAACATAATTAGTTTTTGGGCAATAGTAAATTTTCAATGTTTCTTGCTCTAATTATTGAAAAGTATAAAAGTTAGAAATATGACAAAATATTTATTCCAATTTAAACTTATTTTTTAAATATTTTATCAAAAACTTTAAAATAGTCTTCAAAAGTAGGCATATTAAACACTAACCAAGTTGTTTAAAATTGAAATGAATTGTCTTTGGCAGTTTGAGTGTATTTCGAAATTACTTTTACAGAAAGTGTTAGATTTATATATTAATACTACTAATTAATGCTTTACAATGATTATATATTCATGTTTAAACTTTGTGTTTGTTGTATAATTTATTGTTTTTGTTTGTTTTCATTGCAGTTGCATAGGGGTAATACTTCATTCATCGCTTTAGCTCAGGACTTGGGAGATTTGAGTGATGGATGCTGTTTATCTGCTGTTCTTAGTTTGTATTGTCCTAGGTTTTTTAAATGGCAAGGTCAGTTTTTCTTTATTTCTCAAACATATTTTAAATTGAGAGAAAAATATTTAAATAGCCTATTTGGCAATATTATGCATTTTCGAAATATTCACGACCGTATGGTTTATTTATTTAAATAAATTAGCAGTCTAACTCTATAATGTGTAAATTAAGATAATACATTAAATAACAAAATCTTTTTTATTGCATCAAAAAGCAATATAATGTTGCATACATTGTTGTATGCTGTTTTATACATTGTTTTGTTTAAAGCAGTATCGATTATTGCAATTATCTGAATCAGTGGTTCAACACATTTCCATTGCTCATGTTCATATGATAATTTCTCATAGGAGTGGTTAGTAAATAAGCTATGAACATATGTAATGTTTATATTTTTAAACTGTGTAATCCAATTCCTTTTTTTTCCCCTTGTCATAGATCCATAATTTACTTATCTTTTTATATAAATGTATGTAATAACAATTTTACTAATAGTCATATTTAATAAGCCAAATGAGCTAGTAGAATTTTGAAATTCAATAATCAAACTGATGGTTCGCTGAACGCTTTTTGTTTTAAGTGATTATTTTCATTGGTTAATAAGACAAGAAAAGGATAGATTGATAATAGGACTTATTAAAGTAAATTTATAACGTTTAATTTTCAATTCGAAATCAGTGTAATTATTTAAATTTAATGTTAATCAGGTTAGAGAAACACAAATTTAAGTTAATTCTCTTGATTTCTTAATACTAGTAAAATTGTTAGGAAACCTTAACAGTGTACAAGAGGACTAAACAATAGATCGTAAGTATTTATAGTAAGCACTTCTTATTTTTATTGGAAACCCCTGTTCCTTCTGCATTCCAACTCCATCTCCATTACAGGAGTGATGAAAAATCATTAGTCGTTAAAGTCAATATGAAAAAGAAACTAACATTGTTATTTGGCACATGAGAATAATGGTTTGTCTAGAAAACAGATATAAACAGGGTATCCGCGCACCTGAAAAGTCATGGAAAGTCATGAATTTAGTATTGAACAAAATTTGTCATGAAATGTCATGATTGTAACTATTTTTTTTAAAAAAAGTCATGGAAAGTCATGAATTTAGGTCGCCAAAAAATCTAATTATCAAACTGGAATTTACCCCTCCCCCAATTTCTTGGTGTTCCGAATATCTGAATTTTTAACAAACTCCCCACTCATAGTCATATTTTATTAAAATATAAAAAATTTTTATCATGTTCTTTCAAAAAATGGAAGGAAAAAAAAACGTCATTTCTAGAGCAAATTATCTTTTAAACTTCTGTGATTTCAGAATTTTTATTGTTTATTTTTTTATTTTATCAATTTGAAATTCTAGCTGAAGCAAGCCAGTGATTGGTGAATTATTTTTATTCCGAAATGAGAACAGAAAAATCAGAAGTATTTCTTTCCTTTCCCTTGAACAAGAAAAGTATCTTTAGAATATAATTCTGCAGAAAAAAGAGGAAGAAAAATGTCTTTTGAGCTATTTTATTGCTTCAAATCTTTATTTTCTCTGTTTTTTAAATTAAAAATCTATAAATATGAAGATGCAGAGTATAACAGTTTTGGTTACACTAGGGGTGCACAACCTGTGGCCCGCGGGCCAAATGCGGCCCGCCAACCCTCAATGTGCGGCCCGCTACCGCAATCTGAACAAAATGAAAAAAAATAATTAAATTTTTTTTTAAATAAAAAAAAAATTCGGAAATTTGAAATTTACGCATTTAAGTTTTTGACGCACCCAATTTCATTCAATGTAGTTTTCGATCGCTTTTTTTCGATGGTTACCTCTACAGATTTAGGCATAGTTTTGAAAATACCATTATTTTGAACACATCATTATTACGATATACGAATTTCTAATTTTAGTTATTACTTTTGACTCTCTTCGAGTGCTCCGATTTTATCGTAAATTCAATGACTTTCCGGTAGTTATTGCTGCCCAT